AAAAAGGGGAAGATAGAGGAAGATAGAGGAAGATAGAGGAAGATAGAGGAAGAAGTGGGAAGTAGGAAGCAAGAAGTAGGCAACAAAAAGTAGGAAGCAAAAGGGATAAAGGAGGAAGTAGTGTAAGGTAGAAGGTATAAAGAGGGAAGTAAGAAGGAGAAAGTAGAAATGAAACCCCCCCTGGTGGTGTGCTTTCTTTTTCTGATTGTGGGTGCCAAAACAGCGTGGGGTGTGCGGACACGCAACGCCGTCGACCCAGTTTACGGCGGCGGGGGAGGAGTTATTGAGGGAGAAGGCGCTTCCACCGATAGGAACGGTGGTAGCACAGGCGATGAGGAAAGGATAAATGATAGCTCAGGAGGAGACGCCCACGATGGGAACGGTGACAACGGAAGAAATGCCCAATATAAAGGCAATGTTAATGGAGGACACTCTGGAGTTGAAGTGAGCCCGAGTAACCAAGCAAACGTGTGTTCCTGTGACTTCACAGAAAGATTGAACTTCATTCCGCAAGAAAAAACCAAAGTGGTTTGCAACCTAAACCCACACCATGGAGAAGAAGTGAAAATATGGGTCAATAAAGAATACGATGTGAAGTGCTTCCAAAACTCTCGAGTCTACTGTCCGCTAAAAGACTACATAATGAACAACACAGACATTGTTACCTTTTCCCCCAAATTGAAATACAATATACATGACGTAGTGCATAGGGATAGGGAGGTAAAGGAGTATCACCTACAGATTGACAAAGATGCAAGTGACATTTTGTTCTTCTGTTCAATCAAACCTAAACAGGTGTCCGAATTACTAGAGGGAGAAGTCAAAATAAATTTGAAGAGAGAAATTACTGAGCAATATTCAGTAGCAGCTGAAGATGGAATACATGTGTGTGATTTTTCTAAAGGCAATTTAGACATTTCTCCATCAGCAGGATTCAATTATAAAAATGACAGATCGGTTAGTTGTATTTACCTTGTTATTCCGAACAAATTATTTTTAATTAAATTACCCAAATTAGATATTGTGACAAATCAGCTTCTGCCCACTTTGGTTAACTGCTTATCTGAATATTCTTTTATTAATTTTAATTTGAAACATGCGGAAGAAACGGATGACTCGATTTCTTTGCATCTATCCTTTGGGGATTCTAAGAGGACCTTTAATTTGTCCTGTGCATTTGATTTATCTGAATATGCTGTTGAGCCCTGTTCTCTGGGAAAGAAGGGTGTCGTTACGTTTTACTTCAACGCTTAGGATTTGACAACAGGGAGTTAACAAAACTCACCCTTATATATATTTTTTTTTTTTTTTTTTTTTTTTTGCGTCTTCTCCGAATACATATAAAGCATGCACTCAGCGGCATGCCGCAAGAAAAATAAATACACCTGCATATAATTTTTAATAATAATTTCGAGGCGCACAGCCTACTCTTCTTTTTCCCGTGTTTCCCTAGTCCATAATAATCCTTACGCTTTTTTGTGTTTGCCGCAAGCGCCCTGCAGTGGTGTACACACAATGGTGAACCCTAAATAATCAAACAGATCAATAATTAAAATATTAAAAAGTGCAATAATTAAAATTTTAAAAAGTGCAATAATTAAAATGTTAAAAAGTGCAATAATTAAAAACTAAAAGTCGAAAAACTCTCTGTACTAACGTAACAATATCGTGGCGCGAAGGACCCAGACGCGGAAGGATGAACACCCCCCTACCCGCTTCTCGCGAAGACAAGGAAAAAGGTGAAGGGGATATGGCACGAGTTAGTTTTTTGGACCAATGCTGTCAAGCAGAAGTGGCCCATCGAAACTGTCTGGAGTGGAAAAAAAAAAAAAAAATCTCACTTCCCCTTTATGCTATTGTTCGATTGGTCCTCTTTAAACAAAAAAGGGACGCGTTTATGCAGTTAGGGATTGCCCGCAAAATGTTCCTATGGCGTTCTCATGTATATGTACGCGTGCACCCTTGTGGGGGAGGAAAATAAGGTGTATTTTAAAATGCTCATAGAAAGGGCTAATTTGGACGGGGTATATTTCTCTACTTTTTTTGTGTCTTTTAAAAAATTTTTTTTTTTTTGTTCTCTCCATCTTATTGGGCTTCGATTCGGACACATTGCACGAGGCCATACCCCAATAGGCCCATCTTCACTTACAGGGTTACCCCTTATGGGAAATTGCTTCTTCTGCTGCTTCGCTAAAATTAATGTCCATCGTGAGTGGCGTCTTTTAGGCCATTTGTTACCCTGCGAATGGGCTAAAATTGGGAAATCACAGCAGCGGGGTAGATATTGAAATGAAACAAAAAGTGAGGCAAACGGGCGAAAAATCAGAGTGAAAAAAAAAGAAAGAGAAATATTAAGAGTGTGAAACACTGAAATGGTGAAACTCTATGGTAACAAAATTGCGTCGTATCACAATAGAACCCAAGTAGGCCCACGAAGTACCGAAATGCGTTTCGCACATGTCACTTCTCTGAGGCAAAGAAGTAGAAGTGAGAGTAAGCACCTTCCATAGATGGAGGTTGGTAGGTAACATTCCTTCGATATCATCACAAAAAAGGAAGTAAAACATTTTCTGTGTTTTTATAAATTTCACACTTGTGCGTTGTTCATCGGAGGAGACACTTGTGTCCTGTTCTGTCTTGACCTGTCCTAACCTGCACTTGTCCTGTCCTCCTCTCCGTGTACAGTGGTTCGCAAAAACTTTGAAGCGAAACGATGCCGGACTTAAAGCACATATATGCAAAGGAAATTTTCCCAAATGAGAAGCTGAAAAGATATTTCTTAAAATGTAGATCGAAGGAAAAAGTTTTGTACTCCTTTACCTCTGACAATGTACATAGTGATTAGGAGAGGATGCGCAGATGTGGATGAGAAAATTGGAGAGTTGATACTCCCATTTGTTGTTGCCGCCACCATGTATAATACTTTTCACAAATAGACACATGTTACGAAAGTGCGTTATGTCGTTGTTTTTTTTTTTTTTTCTCTTTACGTGAATATGTGTCCTTTTTTTGGGTAGTGACAATTTTGGAGGGAACAGAAAATTATTTTGCTCTATATAACCGTTTTGTTTTATTTCACCATTCTGTACATTCTTCTATCTCTGCATGTCGTGCGAGGGAGGAGGTGGTTCTCCCATTAAAGAGAGAGCAAACATTCGAAAAGGGCACGCACAAAACAGGGAATTAATTTTTGCCGCCCCCCCTTGCATAATCTCTTCTTAGGACATTACAAATGAGGAGAAAAAATATCATGACGAATTGGGCACACTGAAATATGAGGTAGGGAGAGGCAAGTGGTAGAATAAGACAGAGATAATTTTTGTGATGAAAAATATAGCGGATAGAGAAAAGGAGAGTACGCCGTAAGCGAAGCCATTTTGTTGCAGTTATTTTATGTCTTCACACAAACACATATATACCACCTTACACTTCCCTCTTTTCAATGTAGGGCCTGTTCTCCAATGCGTTGACGAGGCTGGTGAACGTACTGTACATTTTGTACCTCTGCTTTGTAATATTTAGCAAAGACGTTTTGTACATCCTTCTAGAAAAGGTTAGAGATGGACAAGGAGGCTTCTGAACCCACAGACAGGGCTTCCCTACACGTATGCAACCTGCAGTAGGAAAAGGACATGGCTGCACCTTCACATCATGGTGACATTCCCGTGTGGCCTGTTCTCAGAAGCATGACGCGCTGTCCGATTATCTGATCGTCCTCCTCATCTTCATATGCTGCGTCGAACTGATGATAAACCTTTTGGCGAGGAAAACCTACACCTGCTATTTTATATTTTTCGAAGTGATATCTTTGGTATGCTTATTCTGTGATTTTTTCATTTGTGAGTATTACCTGTTTGATTTGATTGACTCTTATGTGAAGAGGTTAGTTCGAGGGGGGAGAAGTGGGTGGCCAGGAAAGATGAAGACTAAAAGGCGGGGTCCTCCCCCAAGCAGAGTTCAGTGCACCTTATGTGGGTTCTCCATGATAAATGAGCCGTTTTAAGTGCCCAATGTAGACGCTCACACCTCTTGACTTCTTCTTATTACTACAACCTTTTCTTCCCCAATTTCAGAATAAACGGAATAAGTGATGTAGGAAGCGAAGACGTGATTTATTTGATACATCTGGTGAAGGCTCTGAGGGTGACAAAAATATATAGGCTGATTATTTCCTTCGTCGGAAGACACACCAAGGAGAAGTACAAGCACAGGAATGAGTGGAACGTAATGGCGATGCTTCGTGGGGAATACATTTTGCTCATGTACATATGGCATGATATAAATATGTGTCCAGCTATTTATGCCTTTATGACAACCCCCCCCACTTGCCCTATTCATCGTCCCTCCTCCTAAGTTTGAAAAAATGGAGAGCATGCGGAATAGAACCGATTTGAAGGTAAAAATGCCGCAGCGAGGCCCTTGCCTTCATGTGAGAAGTCACTTATGTGTTATCGAAATTATATGGAGGGCTGCAGCCATTTGTGCATACAACGGGGCGTGATCAAAATGGAGTGGAGTCCAAAAATGGAGACGCTGTTTCCCCATTTCAGGAGAGCCTAAAATTTACGAACAAAATGCACCTGGCGCTGATAAAAAGATATTTTATGTCCCTCTTCTTCTTGATGCTGTCCTTTATATTTATCGAGACGGTAAGGGGGTTGCTGTAAATATTGTGGCGCATATCTTTTGCGGAGACTCTCCTATTCGTGCAGCTATGATTTGTTACGTTTAGCTAACCAGTCCTGCACCTCTTCTCCCCCTTGACAGATGTCCATTCCCAAGGTACAGAATAACTCCATGGAGTACTTCATCTACAACCTCGACCTGTTCGTACAAAAAAAAAAAAAAAAAAAAAAAGGAATTGATCCATTCACAAAAATGGGAAAGAAGAATGTCCTGTCTCCTATATTTGACATGTCCGTTTTTGTACGTACCCACGCGTGTGTCTCTCTACCCATGTGCTATACCATCCCCATCCCTGCAGCATTTCTTTAGAGGATTATTACGAATCTGAATTTTTGAAGGCTCTTTATTTTTACACTGTAAGGGGGAAGAAAAAAAAAATAAAAAAAACAACGACAAGCTAATATAATGACACTCAGTTTGTGCAACGGCGTATGTAACGATCGGGTAGACACACGTTTGTCCCACTTCTACAACTACCCGTCCACGTAGGAAATACAAAAGGGGAAGGGAGCTGATGAATATCTTGTTAGCTTCAAATCAAAGAGAAAAGTGCATAATTTCGTGAACAAAAAGGAGTTAAATATAGGGACACAAAAACGGACGCTGTGGGACTTTTCCCATTTGTCACACGTAAGGGGAGAGTAAAAGTGAGAGACACTGAAAGGGTGTGCGGTGAGAAGGGTAAATGCTGGAATGGATTGGTGCCCTTCCAGTGAAAGAAGCATGAGTGCTCACCTGCGAAGAGAATGCATCACATGGCCACCCCTATCAACTTCACAAATGCACGAAGAAGGAGCTCCTGAAATTTATAAGCATGGACGCCACAAACGGGGGTGACGACGAGGAGGAAGTCATTCTCAGTGGCACAATTAAGGACCTTAGTAAGGAACTCGAAAAAGAGAATTGCACTTTAGTGGTGCATAGATGTGCACAGTGTAGCTCGTGTGAGGGCACAGTACATGTATATGTGTGTACATTGTTGCATGTTCACGCCCCGTATGTAATTACACAATCGGAACAACCTCACCAATTCACCCCTCTGGAAGACGCTCTGAGGAAGTACGAAATGAAAGTGTACCAGTCGTCCGAGTTTACCTTTTACATAAATGTTAAGAAGAATGTAAAGACGCGAATAAAGAACGTTGTCGTGTTAAAGATTCTGGTCATCGTGGTAGGGTCCCTACGTGGAGATGTGATCGGAATGCACTGCCTCCTCCCTCCTTCTTCCAAAAAAAAAAAAAATAAACCTGCAGTGTCCACACTTTCCCCTATAATCTTCCCCTCCCGTACAGTTCTCCTTCATTATATTGTTTTACTTTACTTCCGAACTGAACGTTTTGTTATTCCCAATAGAAAGTATATTGAAGAAATTGAAGCTGATGAAGTAGGCCGCTGCTTAGTCAGATCAGTTTGTCTGCACCTCGGGTGTGCATGTGTGTCCTAAGTGAATTTTTATTGCACCTTCCTTTTTACGTAACTCATTGACTCTTAGATCGAACCCAACGCTGGCACTGGAAATGCAGGAGGAGCTGCTGAACCATGAGTTGGACAATATACTAAGGAACACAAAATTGAAGCGGTAAAAAAAAAAAAAAAAAGGCACCTACACAGGAGGGGGTATTAATACATATGAGGAGACGCACATATCGACATGCCTATATACTTTCAATAAATTTGGTACCACGCTTACTCCAAAATGCAGAAAAGGCATAAAGCAGAATTACGAAATTTTGAAGATGGAGGAAAATTTGATGAAAATGGGAACCCTGATGTTGTTAGGTACACCCGATTTTAACTTCTGCTTTGGTCCATTTGTGTTTTGCGAAGCTAGAAAGGGGGCGACTTTGTGATGCGTTCATAATGGAGATTTGAGCAGTGTGACAAGGACTTACCATCTGTTCGAACAATTTCCTGCGTTTGGCTGCACTTTTTTTTTGCGCCTGTCCCCATTCCTGTCTTACCGGTTCTTTCATCCACGTGCAGGCTTCGGAGAGGCGGGCGCAAAAATTATTTCGAAAAATATCAACGCGCAGGAAAGAGTGAATTTGTTGGTGAATGGAGAAGTGGTTTACTCCGTCTTTTCATTTTGCGACATAAGGAATTTCACCGAAATAACGGAGGTGCTGAAGGAGAAGGTAAGGACAGTTCCGTATTCTTACCTTTTTTTATGCGTAGCGAATGGGCGGAGGAAAGCATCCCCGAGATGGCGCCATTACACTGCTTTAACCAGCATGCCGCTTCACTAGCACACCCGTTCCACCACCTCACCCAGATCATGATATTTATAAATCTGGTGGCAGAGATAATTCACGAGTGTTGCGATTTTTACGGAGGGTCTATAAATAAGAACATCGGAGATGCATTCCTGCTCGTTTGGAAATGCAAAAAAAGAGATTTTCACAATGAAAGGATAAGTCTATTGACATCCAAGAGCCATGTGACAGGTGGAGGGAATAGGGGAGAGGTTTCGGAGGAGGCATGCATAAACAGGGTTTGCGACTTGGCGTTTCTGTCAACCGTGAAGACATTGATAAGGCTTCACGAGGTAAGGGGGGAGGGAGCCACGTGTGCATATTGGCACGCCTCTCTATTTATTGGCGGCGACACGGCAGAGAAATATACAACACAGCAAAATACGCCGCATCGCCGCACCGCCGCACGGTGTGAACTTAACCCTTCACTGTAGTCGGAGAAGATACGGTCCTTTCTCAAAAGCGAGAAGATCCACGAGCTCGTGGGGAATAACATCATCGAGTTAAGTTTCGGTTTGCATTTTGGCTGGGCCATCGAAGGAGCCATTGGAAGCAGCTACAAAATTGACCTCTCTTATTTATCTGAGAATGTTAATATAGCGAGCAGACTACAGGACATTTCTAAGACGTACAAAAGGAACGTCGTCATTTCGGGCGAATTTTATAAGAACATGTCTGAGGGCTTCAAGGTGGGCAACTTTCCTGTTTTAAGCCATTTCTAAGTCACTTTGTTGATTTTGTATCTTTTTTTATCAGAACCCCTCCTCCTCCCGCTTTGTAACATTTCACATTTCACCTCTCCGTTTATGAATAGCATATATGTGCAGAGCCCCTTATTTTGCCCTCCTTTTTTTGTGGCATTTTTTTTAGAAGTCCCTGCGCAGAATAGACCGAGTTATCTTGAAGGGGTGTGGGAACCCAATAGATTTGTACACCTTTGACATACGGCTGGATAAGGTAAAGGGGGAGAAGCAGCGTGCGTGTGCGTAACTTTGTGGAGTGTGACATGGGATATGCTCTACGTACCCTTCTGTGTGTATGTGGGAAGAGGTACATATGGATCTCACGCCCCCCTCGAAAAAAAAATAAAAATAAAAAAAAGCAAAAACCATTCAACCTTGTCGTGTCAGATTCCGAGGAAAAAAAACATCGAAGTGTTTGATGTGACCAGAAATGTTGATATAAAAATGATAAAGGTATCGTCGTTATTTGGAGAGACGTTTTCATTTCTACACATTTGAAAAAAAAAAAAATAAATAAATAAATGAATAAATAAATAAAATAATATTCTTGTAATTCCCCAGATTTTGAATGACATAAAGCAAAAGACAGAGAGACGCCGTCGGAAGAAGGAAGTGTTGAATCTTTCTTACGACGTAAAAGTGTTTGCGGCGTGGCCATATGCGCGCACATGCATGTACACTCTTTTTTTGTCTGCCTGGCTGTTTTCTCGTTGGTTCGGCGGGTCTCCCCTGCATGCGTTATCCCACTCTAGAAAGAAGACACCAAATATTTTTGCACACCCTTGACATACCCATCACAGCTGTATGAGGAATATTCAAAGAGTGAGGATATAAAGTCAATTCAAATGAATTTCCCTGAGGAATATTTGAAGCTGTTTGAAAATGCACTAGAATTGTATTTGGGTGGAGACTGGCAAGAGTCGCACAGGCTACTGGAGCATTTGCGAGGGAACTTCTCTTGTGAGGACGACATTTTGTGTCAATTGGGAGATTTTTTACTTGCGTCAAATTTGACTGCACCTAGTGATTGGGGGGGCTTCAGGCGGTTTTTGCAGAAGTCGTAGAGGGGTGAAGTGATATCAACTTGAAGGCGACTCCAAAACGAAGGTGCCATTTATTATTTACACATTTGTGGGAGAAGACTGCCCTCCCTGCACCCTCGTTCACACGAATGTAAAATACCAAGGGGAGCAGTAACAAGGGTGGAGTGGCGTCAAAAAAAAAACAAATGAGACAAAGGGTGGGGGGGGGTACACAACTTGGCGGGATGGCATGACGACATTCCCGCTGGGGTAAGCAATAATAAAAAAAAAAATTCAAAAAAAAATTCAAAAAAAAAGGGGGTAAAAAGGCGAAGAATGGGGAGAAGCAATGTTCCGCTTGAGAGAACGCCGCACAGACACGTGGCGAGGCGTAATTGCTCCCCTCCCCTCTGCACATATCAAGCAAGAGCGTTCAAACTCTCGACATAATCATAGGCCTTCTTCTGAACCATCTTTTGGCTGGCAACGGTGCCATGGTTCTTTTCGAATAAGAGCCACTTGGTGAAGATCATTTTCATCACTCTTGTCTTAAATTTACACGAAGAAAATCGTTCAAATATATTCCTAACAAACTGAAGTTGATTTAAATTTAATTTTTTTTTTTCTCCTTTTGTTTCACCTTTGGTTAAGGAATTAATATGAATGTCAAGGTAAGTAAACCAAACATCCGACCTCTTTGGATATTCTTGAATTAATTTTTCAAAATAACTTTTCCCTCTTTCCTTATTGGCATATTTATATTCAAACCTTGCAGCATTTATTACCATACGTAGATGTTTTCTTTTCGGAAGGCAGTGTAGTGACTTCAACAAAATTTCGTGTGCATATGCTTCATCTTTAAATGTGCTGTGTATAATTTCTAAATAATGTGACCATATTTTTTTGGAGTAATGAAATTTTTTTATTGCTTCTTCACTTAATTGTTTCAACTGATTATACTTTTTATTTACCTTTAGCACATTCATTGTGTGCATGTACACTTTCTTTTCATTACAACAAAGGAGAGCCCTTTTGAATACTTCTCTTAACTTGTCTCCATATGTGCACTCCATATTTATATAGCAGAAGAAGATGTTTCTTTTTTCCTCCACTTTGTGTATATCTATTGTCTTCAGGGCTCTTTCTGCGGTTTTTCTGGCTTCTTCCAGGCTGCCCTTTTCCAGGTGGTAGGCTATGTAGCTTACCCAGATGGCGCTGTTGTTTTTTTCCGACGCCAGGAGTCTTTCGTAATCGGATGGACTCACCTCGTCTGCTGCCGCTGCTGCAGTGGAGTGCCCATCTGACAGCGTTTCTGGTTGCTTCCCCTGTTCCTGTTTTTTTTCTTTTTTCTTTTTTTTTTTTTTTTTTCCCTCTTCTTTGGGCGGTTGCCCCAGCAACTCGTGGTCTTCCTCAATTACGTCATCCTCATCCTCTTCACTGCTCGGGGACACGTCCGCGTTGCTGCCCACATTCGTTTTGGCTTTCTTCGTCTGTGCGTATAAACTTAGTTGGTTCCCTTCGCCTAAGGCTTTCGTCGCGGCTTTGCCTTCCACAGCATGTTTCCTCTTCCTCTTGGGTTGTTCCTTCTGATCATTTTTTCCGCTTGGGGGCGTGTCCGCGGGTTGCGCTTCTTCATCCGACCGCCCCACCGATTGGTCGTCTGTCGCACTGGACGCCTGTTCCGAATCCTCCATTGAATTGCCTTGTTCCTGGTCCTCCATCCTCCAGTTGGTCTTCCACTAGATATATATATGATCAATCGAACGTACGGGTGGTGCCGTACACATAAACGTTCTTATAAGTAAAAGTATACGCCGGCATTCTTGGCTCTACATTGCCATTTTTTCTTTTTACGTTTCTTGGGGATAATTATTTTTGTATCATTCGATGGGATTATTTTTTTTTTTCTTTTTTTTTTAACTTTTCATTAGTAGAGGTTACCAAAAAATAGCCTTTCAATATTAGCAAACTTTATGTTTTTAAAGAAAAAAAAAAATCGTACTAGCGTGTTGAAGTAACGCGGGGGTTGTAACCATATGCATCGAATATGAGCAGCGAGGAAGTGAAATGATGAGAATATTTAACTGGGGGCGCTAGCATGAAATAAGTTGCTTAGTGCGTCATTTCGCCCCCAAGGCAGCCGCATAAAATTGGGGAAAAACAAAAGGCATAATATAAAAAAAAAAAATTGCATACATAGGTAGTTACATATTAAGCAATTGTTGCATTTTTTGTGGCGCGTTCTTTTTCATTTTTTTTTCTCTTAAAATGAACGTAACGCGGGGAGTACATATATTTTCGCATTTTTTCCCATCCCTTTTTGGAGCGGCATCGGGGAAGGGGGAAAAAAAAGACCCCATCACATAACGCGGGGTACATAAATATATACAATTGACCCATAATCTGTAAATGAAAAGTTACGATTTGGAGTGCGTCCAAAATGTCTCCCCCCTGTGGTCATCTTTGCATTACAGGTAATATGACCACTGTCCTCCCATTCCAAGATGGGGACAACGTCTTATATTATACTATGCATTAGCTAAAAAAATAGGATGCCGTGATTTGCCCCTTCGCGTGCACGAAAACATGAAGGGAGAGGGCACTGTTCCGTCTCCTGCACAAATGGGAAAAATCGAATGTTGAGCACTGTTGTGGACAGTCCGCATAAAAATGAGTCGCATATGGCTTACCATTTTACAAAAAAAATAAAGCAAACTAAATCCCAATAGTCCATCTGCCTACCCTGCGCGCTGCTAATGTCGCTTCAAAGTACACCCATAATGCATTTAGCACATGCTTATATTTTCATCCGTTAAAAAGAAAAAATGTGCCATTGTGGGATATTCTCCATTGTTCGTCTTGAATTGTGAGAAGAGTCCCATAAAGGAGTGGGTGGTACTGGACTGTCCTTGCATTTATGCGTCAAGCAGATTCCGTTTTAGTGTTTACGTGAAACATTTTTTTTATGAGCAAGTACGGCATAGGTGCAATACTTTTCATCTCCAGAGTTCCAATGAAATTGATGCCAGTGGGATATATATATATTTTTTTCCTATTATTCGCCCTTCTGAAACAACTTTGATCTGTACTGATTAAATTGTATCATTTGGTCAGCAGCGACTTTCTTTTGGGAAATATATTTTACATTGTTGATTCGGAATATATTATTTTGTGTCCTAAATATACAAGGAATGGCTACTTTAGCTGCTGCTTTTTTTAACACTTTATAAACGGGGTCTTCAAATCCTAAGGTATTAAACGGGCTGATGGAAGGAATGTGAAAAATAGTTTTTCCTGTTGGAACTCTAGCAACAAAATAATCGATGATTCCTTTTCCTTGTCCCATTTTGGTCCCATCTGGTTTTTTTGTTACACTGTAAGTAGCATGCACATCGAGAAAATACTCTTTTTTTTTTCCTAAATATCTACGTATAATTTGTTTCATTTCGGCTAATTTTTCTGCTCTTATTCTTCTGGGGCATGCAGCTATAAGTGACTTGCCTATTTTTATATCTGGTCCATTGAGCGGCACTATTCTTCCTTTGGGTGCTTTTAGCCGCACGGGCAGTGGGGGTTTGTAAATTACAGGTGGCATACTGTTTTGTATATGTGTGTTGTCTCTGTTTTGGGCAGGGGTGTATGATTTCTTAACTGCGCGCTCAAGGTGATCAATCGGGAACGTCGCATCTGCCTTAATATCCCAATGATGTGAGGGGTAGACGTGGATATACCTACCGATCTTATGGCTTCACATGGCTACGTTTCATCCTTCTTTCTACCATTCACTGTGATGCTATATGTTGGCCCCCTGTGTAATTTTCAAGGCCCGTTTGACATGCGCTACTCTGGACTCTTCTTAAATGGGCACAAGAGAAAAAAAAAAAAAAAGGAAAGAAAGAAGAAGAAGAAGCTATTCATCTTATGTATACACATGTATACTTCCCCCCATATGGGCTTTTTCACACCTTTTAATTAAACCGTTTTAGCTTCTGTTATTTTGCCATCGTCAGATTGATCACGGATATTGCGAGTTATTCGAAGATGGCAGGAACAACAAAGGTCCATATCGTTTTCTTACTCATTTGTTTATTCGCTGTTATTCTGCACTGCGCGGTAGTTACAGCGGTTCGATGTTTCGAAGTATACACCGCTTGAGTTTTCCTCCTTTAACATCTTCCTCTTGGTCACAATGGTTAAGAAGGGAAAAAATATATGTGCAGCGCAAATTGCACTTTGCCCCGGAAGGGTGTGCCCGTCGTGATATATTTCTTAACATTTCGTGTGTGTCATTTACTCCACATATGCATTCATATCCTGCTCCTTAAAAACACGACATGCGTGGGGCAGCCGAAGTAACAACCCTGGAAGGTGAAGTCCTTCCAACTTTTTGCCATTTGAAGCAGCACGTTCACTCCAATTTGGCGCGGGGGTATGACATGCTTAATTGTGCAAGCCTCCCCCGAAATGGACACTCGACGGTAGTGCCCGTGCATCTGTACACACAGTGGTACTTTTAGGAGTGCGCCATATTGGTGGTTTGTTTCTTTTTGTTACATGATTGTTCTCAATATATCATGTGCAATATATCGTTGTGTGTTAATGTGAGAGGGCAAGCGGAAAGAAAAATGATTTTTTTTTTTTACTTTCTTTTTGGGAAAAGGAGGCACATATGTAACGATGCATGAACAAAAACAGTGTTGTGGTTGAAAAGGGTGTAACTGGCACGAACAGGTCAGTGCGAACAAACGAAACGACAACGTTAAAATAGGTGCATAACAAGATATTCGCGCTACAGTTCCACCCCAAATTAAAAAAAGTGACAACGGAAAGGACACACGGCCATATGCAGTATAAGGCTGTATCTAAAGGGAACAGCTGTCCCCCCTCGGCAGAACGGGACAATCTGGAAAGTCCCCACCAAACTTGTGTATACCCGATGTTTCTTCCTCAACCCAATTAACAGTAGCAGGAGCAGCTGCATTCCTCGGTTTGGACACCCGTGACACTTTTGCAGGAGGAGAAGCATTCGGTTATGTTATCATCCTGGGTGTTAGTTCCTTGTGGCGTTCCGGCCTGCGTGTTGGTTCCTGGTTGAGAGGGATTTTCCGTACGTACACCAGACATGGCATTTTTAGTGTACATATCGGCAGATTGTCCCGAGCTGGTATGCTTCCTACTCGTAAATAGATTATCTCTCTGTACTTTGGGCCCCTTACTTGCATGTCTATACTTCATGGTAAAACCCGTTTTGTTTTTACAGCTACATTCACATTCACAAAAATTATCGGGTAGGCATTTTATGCATTCCTTGTCTGTTGTTTTGGGGGAAAAAATCTCTGCGGCTGACGCATTTTTTGTTTGTTGGTGAATGTGTGAGGTTATGCTAGAGCTTCTTCCGTGAACGTACGCCAATGTAAAGAGTAGGGGTAGGAGAAAAATCAAAACGCGCTTCATCTTGGAAATGGGTATATATGTAAAATAGGTCTAGGGGCATATATTTTTTTAGGAATGTGGGCAGTTTAAAAACGTAGAGGGGGGTGAGGTGCAAAAGAGGGCTACTCAGAAAAGAAAAAATTGGGATTTGTGGATAAGACTTGAGTTCTGCTAAGGATTACAAGTAGTTGCCACGAAAGGAGGAAAGTAAGAACAATTATGACAAATTACAAAAAAAAAAAAAAAAGAACAAAATAAAGCGGATATTAAGAATAAAAATGAAAATGATAATAACATGAGAAAACAAAATAGAAGACAACTGGTCGGATATTAAATTTTTTGGGAGACACATGTAGACATTAAGGATTAAACAACTCTCGAATTGTCCATCCCTCGAAAAGCTGTTTTTTTTTTTTTTTTTTTTTTTTTTTCTTGTAAATAGCTATATTTTTTCTCAAAAATGGCTATTTATTTTTCTTTTATTGGCTAGCTGAATGAATTTTCCCATTAATTGCCTTTCCTGTTCAGGCATTTTCGTTGTCACTTCCAGCGCATCATTTGAACATAAGAAAATAGTGTGCAACAACAAATAATTCGGAGGAAGACAGCTATATTGGAAAATAAAAATAAAAAAAATATATAAATAAATGCATATGCTTCCACATAGAACACATATCGCTCCGATTTTTTCCTTATTATACAAACGAATGTGACAAAAGGGAAGGCGCTCATTTTGGATAAACTAAGTTTTACTCGAAAAATAAATCCGATCACATTTTGTTTTTGCTCATTTGACACCTTTTAAGCAATAATGAGTTAGGTACAGCCACGTGTAGGTAAACGTGGTGGCAAATTGGTTACATGGAGAAATTTCATTTTGCATACATTTATGCAAATGAACATATAACCACTTGTCTAAAATGTAACTTGAGGTTGCCCAGAACCGTTGCTAGTATGCATCATTTTGACCGTGTCTCAATTAGCCTTTTTTGGAGAATATTTAAAACAATATCGCTAAATTGTTATGGGAGGATTTTTTTTTTTTT